CTGGTGGTGGTGGAGGGGATCCCCATGACCTGTAAAGCTCTTTGAGTGGAGTGTCCACTCTTTGAGTGGAGTGTCCAGAAAAGCGCTATATAAGTGTAAGGAATTATTATTATTATTATTATATTATTATTACTAGGAAGCCTCCAGGAAACGTCCCTTGCGTAGGTGGCTGCCTGAGCTGGGAAGACAGAAAAAGTAGATATATCCCAAGCAGCCATCACTGGGGAAAAGTGATGCACACCGATGTAGCAACAGTGAATAGATAGTGCCTTCTGGTCAGATTTCTGATAGCTTTCAGACAAAATGCATCAAAATGAAAAGCAAAAGACAAGACTTGCATTGTGGAGCTGTGCAAAGCTCATATGGTTTACATCTCCCCCCAGACATCGAGATGGGAGGTGAAAGCAGGAGATCCCAGTCTTTCTGGACCACTCACCGTCCTTAGAGCCCCAGTGGACGGGACCAGCTGCTCTGTCATGGACAGAGGAAGGAAGTCTGACTCTCCTCTCATGATACAGGTTTACTGCAGTACATCATGGGGGCTCAAAGGCAATGACAGTAAAGTACGACAAATTCAGAGCAAACTCATGACAAAGTTTGTGCAAAACACAGGATCTCATGGCAAATCACAGTACATGAAACTACATGGAGAGCGGCAAGAGCTCATTGAAATTTTACCACAATCAGCTTTCAGAAGGTCCTTAGCTCGATAGTGAATCCTCAAGAGCTCAGTTATCCAACGCCCCCAAATTAAAGTGATTTTCCTATGAGATGGAATACACCTCTTTTCACAAAGGGTGGTGGAAGGTGGGTGCTTTGAACCCGACTGCTCTCCAAGCCTGGTGACCCTCTGTACCCATTCCTTCAGGCAGCTGTCTTGAGCAAGACCATCACAGCACTTTTCTGTGTATGCTGGATCGCAAAACAAGGCCAGAAAAGGCTACTGAGCCCCTGCTGCAGGCACCTTGTTTTTACGGTTCAGTCTGGTGACATCATAGGAATGTGTTTGGGAGAGCAGGCACTGAGGGAAGTGAAGCTTTATCACGCAGCGCAGAAAGGAAATGACCCCCGGCGAGTGTTTGCTGAGAGTGTGCTATGTATCTTCAGTAAACAGTGCAATCAAAACACATCTCTCATTGTCTCGGAGAGCCAGCCTTTAACGGCCACCCTGCCTCTGTGAAAGAATGAGTGAGCTCAAAGCAATGGAATCTTATCTCTCCAAGAATGCACTTCATAATCCTCAGCTATATGCCCTGTGCTGCACATAGCAATACCCCCCTCAGCCCCAACAGCTATCTTACCCCATAACCCAGAGCAGGAAATAGGATTGAGCCAGGAAACATCCTTCTTGCACTTCTCTGCACATGACTCTTCCTCACTGTCCCAGAGCAAACAAACAGGGGGTAGGACCAAAGATGCCACATGCTTGAGCCTAAGTGCTTGTAACGGTATAGACACTGCTGACAGCAGAGAGGCAGGGAGGGATAGGAGGCCCTGTGCTGCTCCCTCTGACAGGAGAAAGGAGAGGATGGGTGAGGAACTCCACACAGTGCCTCGGGGCTCCAGTCCACTCTTGAGGACTTCCCAGCATGCAGCGCTGGCCTGAGAGGGGCACAGTGACCGAAGCAAACAGGCCTGTGATGAATCACCCACAGCACCATACTGAGTACGATACGAAATAACAGGAAACAGGCTTAATGACAGGTCTTGGCACCTTGTGAAGCTAATTCCCAGATTTCTTTCCTCTGATTTAGACTCAGAAACTTTATTAATGTCCTGCAAAATCCATAATGCATAGTAAACTTAAAGAAGTTCAAGCTAACTCTGTCTTCAACCCATAAGACAGACCTCCAAAAGCTTCGCTGTTAACAAAATTAAGGCCTTCGATTAAAAACAATAGAAATGACATTTGATCAATGATCTTATTAAGTATTTCACTTAATTGAGGACAACTTATTTTCATAATCAGACAGAGGCATGCTTCCAACAGCCCTGTCTCAGTCTGCCTGCTCTTGGCAGAACAGTGGAATATGGAAAGAAGCGCCAGGACCGACAGTTAATAAAAGCAGACATTTGTTAAAAAAATAAAGCCGCCGGAAAGTAGGTGGAGATGGGATTTGTCGATAGTTTTCCAGAAACTGGGATGTGTCTGGCGATCTCCAATGACTCTCTCTCGCTCTCCGACCACATCTGCTGTTGTTTACTGGCTCAAGCAGGTGGGATAGATCACAGGAGCTCACGTGTTGAGGGGTCAGCATTACTGGGCAGGTGGCGTGCTTTTTATTTTGTTACTTTCTGGAGACTCTCGGATTCCTGCCTCGGTACCACTGGGGAATATTAACATGTGACAGGGGGCCACTGGGCTTGGTTTGGTGTTTTAACTGAACCCAGGATCCCATCTTGATTTTGTTCCATAGTCCTATAAGGCTTTGCACAAAGCAGTGCCTCCTGTTCTCAGATTTTCAGGACACTTTCCCAAAGTTTCCACTGGTGTCCCCTGGTTCATTCTGAAGTCTGCTGAGCTGACTTTGTCAGTGTGTTTGAAGATTGTATCAGGCCCTGTTATAATCTTCTCTGTTAAAAGAAGTTCAGTTCTTTTTTCTGGCAGTGAGGGGCATTCCTATTTTCCCAAAGAGTTTTAACTCTTTAACAGCCACCTCACAGTACCCTGTAGCACAACAGTTTGATATATTTTTCCCCTCCACATAGAGATGACTCACTCTGTCACATCTGGGTGCTTAGCTCTCTTTTGGACAACAAGAGGTAACAAACATTAAAGCCTCTTCAGAGTTTAGACAATTTCCACAAAATGACTAAAACTTTCCACTGTTTATTTTGAAAGGCCTGCTAAGATAACATATTAGATATTGTTAGAAAAACACTTTGGGTTTTTCCTGCTAATATATATACATATTTGTAATAGGTATGCAGAAAATTTAGATTGCATTTGCCAGTGTTTGTGATCACTAAAAACAATCAACAAATATCTGTCACTGTCTGTTCCCAGGGGGTCTCTGGGTCATTGTGGTGCTTTACACTGAAATCTACAGTATATTTGTCTTGACGGATTTATTTCTGAAAAACAGAATGTACTTTGTAAAATGATTTGTCAGATACTTCAGACAGTGAACAAATTGTGTGTGCTGAACCTCCATAGCAACTCCCATTCTGAAGGTCAAAGCCGTTTCGTTCTGCTCTCTTCAGTTTCCAGGAGTGAAGATCTTTACAGGGCTCTCCTGTGCACATGCTTAATACAGAGGTAAGTCTCCTGTCACATTTCTTGTTGACTTTGTTTTCAATAGGTCAATTGTTAACACACTAACTGCTGTTCTCACTTTTCAGCCAAAAGTGGTATACCTTTTTAATTAATCATAGTAAAACAGAATATATATAAGCTTGATGAAATAGTGGTAAAAGCACAGTAAAACACAGTAAAATAACCTTGTCAGCACGAAAGTGCAGAGTGGAATAGTAAAACATGATAACATAAGCAAAGTGAATGTACAGAATAAGCACAGTCCGCCTCTGAGGACGTGGTTTACAGCAGAAATACCGCTCAGTCGAGTTGCTCCAGAATATATATAAGCTTGATGAAATAGTGGTAAAAGCACAGTAAAACACAGTAAAATAACCTTGTCAGCACGAAAGTGCAGAGTGGAATAGTAAAACATGATAACATAAGCAAAGTGAATGTACAGAATAAGCACAGTCCGCCTCTGAGGACGTGGTTTACAGCAGAAATACCGCTCAGTCGAGTTGCTCCAGGTTGTGACAGGAACCGGTCAGCAAGGCTCCAGGGAACTGATGCACAGCCACGCAACCTTTTGATTTGACTTGTGAACTCACACAATAAACGGCAAAAACCGCAGATACAAAGACACACCGCAATGAATGTTTAACGCTGTTAATTTATCATGGTGTTCCTTGTGCTGTGGTCTAGACATGATGTCACAGGCCTCACAGTGCTGGGCCAGGGAAATGCCACAGTGCACCGTTATATACTGTGCGTTTCTGAAGCATGTTCACGAGGAAACACCATGGTGTACTCATGGTACAGCAAAGCTCTGTAGGCACCCAGACACAGTGTAAGTGCAGAAATACTGATGATGGATTCAGAGTTAATCATCCACAAGGACTGATCCCCACCTAAATGAGAAGGGGGGAGAGGGTGTGGGTTCAATCTATTTTCCTGATGGAATCAAATCTTGCAGAAAACACACAGGAAGATGCATGACCTTGGAGAAGGGTAATGAAATTACTGGACTGTGTCCCTGTCCCCGTGCCTGGAAAGCTCTGCTCCCCAACTGGAGCTGGACGCCGACTTGATCTGAGTGTGGGGCTCCGCTGCCTGCGTGACGTCACAGTCAGGGAGGATCCCACAGACAGGAAAGTCCATTAGAGTTAATCTGAGTTTAGCAGCTGGGTCGCAGCCTAGCGGAGAGAGCAGGAGAGAGAGGGAGAGGGAGGGAGGCAGAGGGGAGAAAAGGGGAGGAGAGACAGAGGGAGAGGAGAGGACAACAGGGTCTGCAGGTTAAAGAATCTGCTCTATTTCTAGCAGAGCTGTGCAGAAGGCAAGTTGGGAGCGGTGCAGGACTGTGACTAGTCACTCAGCTGCTCGGATGAGGAAGAGCCATGACAGGATGCAGGGATAACCAGAGAGCCTGACCGGAGACAGAACCTCCGCAGGGCAGAGAGGAGCCTGACCAGGCAGGGGGAGAGAGGGGTCAGCAACACTGGAGCTCAAGGATAAGCCATGGACTCTGCACATCCCCGACGCCTGCTGGACGTGAGTACAGACTAAACGCAGAGAGGTCTGGGCGTGGGACAGGAGATACTGCTGTCCCGTATGGACTCTTTAGCAAATGAAATTCAATCTGAATGGTTTAAATAATGATCTTCCTTTCCCACGCGAAAGGAACTCAACACCTGGAAGTAACTACATTTATTCCACCCAGCTATCTGAGGTTTGGGAGATAGCTGGATTAAGATAGCTTGCCCTTAATTTCTTACATACGTGACACCAATTTTATACAACAATAAAAAAAAAGAAAAACCAGCAAAGTCATTAAAGCACAGCTGTACAGCCCTTGCAGATCGGAGAAGGGCTTTGTAATGATGTCTTGAGTACTGCCATCTCCCAGGAGGTTCAAAAGAGCCCTGTGTGAGACAAGGTTGCAGTGTCTGTGTTTTTCTGTGTGTGTGATAGTTAGATCTGTGGTCAGCATTGCAAATTCGGAAGTCGGTTTCAGCATTAAAATGCTATAATTAATAAAAAGGCTCAGGTATATGTACCTTCCGGCCTGGAAAATCTTATCATTAATGTTATGATGTTGTGTTTTCAGCGATAAACGTGTGTATTAAGGAGGCAGCAGTACAAACATGGCAGTTGTCATTGTCACTCTGATACAGACAGAAATGCCTCCATACCAGCCTGTGCTATGTCCTATTTCACTATGGTTAACTTTTTCAGTATTATAGCAGATTTCTATGATTGTACTATTCAAACAGTACGCCTTTATAAGGGCACTGGCACCCTTAAGTACTTTTAAAAACAATCACAATGTCTGCATTTTCACTTCTAACAGACAGTTTCATTCCTCAATACAGTATTGTTTCTGTGTAAAATACCATTTCCTCTTTGAATGTCCTCTTCCTGAAAACAACATGTTTTGACTCTCAGGAATATTATTTCTGTTACACAAGACTGCACTGTCAGCAGACATCTTCAGAGCAGTGCACAACAGTAACATGCTCCCGAGTGCCACACTTCTGTCACACAGCCTTGAGAAGATCTTGAGAAGTACAATTAGAATTCAAGGGTATTATAAGATAAGATCACTTTATTGGCCCTATACAATTTCTCACGTTAGGAATTTGTCTTTTCACAGACCACAGCTTGCTCTCCATGAGACACACAGACAGGGAGAGAAGCTTGGGGTCAGAGCACAGGGTCAGCCATTGTACAGCGCCCCTGGAGCAGTTGGGGTTAAGGGCCTTGCTCAGGGGCCCAACAGAGTAGGATTCCTCTGCAGGCCGCGGGATACAAACCAGCAACCTTCCAGCCACAGGCGCAGATCCTGAGCCACAGAGCCACTGCACCACCCCGTATTAGCACATCACATCGTTATCCCGATACTGCCCCAGTATTATCACATCTAGCAGCATCTTACAGAGAGTAAGGGGAAAGTGGGCTTTAGGAAAGGATTTGGCTGTTGACTAGATCTTTTCCTTTTTTCTTTTTGGAGTCTGTGTTTCACTCGGGCAGTTCTCACTCTAGGAGAGCATGTTGCAGCTCTGTAGAGAGTCAAAGAGCGATGAAGAGATGAAAACTGGAAAAGAAGCAGAGGATCAACAACAGGAGAGAAAGAGAAGGGACTGTGTGACACAGGCAGGGCTACACTCAGGCTGCTAAGGCTCAGTAGGAACAGGGATCAACTGTGCAGTGTTCAGGCAGAAAGGTGGCAAACAATGAAACAAGTGATGCCAGCTGTATATCTCTTGATGTCTATGGTGTTAGTGGCTCATGTAGGGTGCAGTAAGTATCCCTGGGTGTTTCCAGGGCTGTAGCAGCCCACTGTGGTGCTGTGATTGAAGCAGCAGACTGTGGAGGTTCTTGGCCATAAGGAAGAGGGCAGCACATCAGTGCCAGGAACATACACAGGTGCAGTTCTCTCATTTGGAGGAAGGGGACTGCGTTATCTCTGGCAGGAGACTCTCAGCTCTCCATTCAGCTGTCAGTTCCCCCACACAAACTACCACACAGCCAGTACAGTGAAGGCTGTTGTTTTGCAGCGAAGCCCAGAAGCACAATGACACGATTGCCTCTCTGCCTCTGCTTCACAATTTCAGCTAATGCTTTTTACTGGGTATCCATTTAGCCAGATGGAACTATCTCCCCATCCGGGTTTGCATGAGCTCATGCAATTTTCCTGGAAAATCTCATTATCCAGAAGACAAGGATGAGCTGAAGTGTGCACGTTTCTTGGGAGAAAGCAATCCTGTAAATTAGAGGATAGGCGTGTATGAAAATAACCGCGTGCTCTGCCTATAAGTCAGTTTGAAAATTGCATGACTGCTGAGCGATGTTACCATAGTGCAGCCTTTTGTGTTAAACCAGCCAAATCAGATTCCCAAATAGGAAATGTCATTGCTGGGCTGTCTGACATCAACAATCAACAGTAACAGATTATTGCCGGCTGGCTCAATGCGAGTTCTTCCAAGGGAGACATGCTTGGTACAATCTGATAATGAGCTGTGAGCAGACACATTTTTCAAGCTTCCCACCACTGGAACTTTATTAAAAGGCTCTGGGCTATCACGGAGCAAACACTTCACTTATTTTTACAACGGGAAAGGGGAAGAGACATACTGTAGGCCCTGAGCCTGTGATTGTTTCTAGGATTTACTCAGGTGGAGAAGTGCAGTTTACCACTGCCCATTGTAGTGCTATCTGTCTTATCTGTCTAGCGGCTATCAGCCCTACTCTTGGTTTTCAAACCAAGCCAAGCAATGTGCTTGTTTGTCAATTCAACTACAGTATATTTTACCAGGAAGACCTTCACCTTAGCAAAGAGATTGTTTTAAGTCAAGAAGAAAAATTAAATGCACAGGTGGCAGACACCTTTTTGGCATGTTTAGTCTACATCTGCATTCATTTGATGGCGTTTCACAATCTTACAATATCAATGCAATCAATACAATATTGTATTTCTGCCAGTTTTCTCTGATTCTCTAATGAGTGTCTTTGCATCAAATTTCAATGTGACTTAGATATGGAAATGTAGTGCAGGTGGGGAGCTGCGTCAGCATGCTCAGCCTGGAAAGGAACAAGTAAGAGGTCTATTCCATGCTGAGAAGAGAAGAAAGAAAACACAACGTTTCGGCACAATTTTAAGAAGGGTTTCAGCACGCACATATTGGTGCAACAAGTCTCTCTTCACCTGGTCTGCCAAATTTCTTAGCAGCTGTGCTTGTGAGGTTGGACCACTCCAGATGAGCACTGAGAACATACTGATGGCACTATGATTAATCACTTTCAGACCCCAAAAACACCACACAGGTCACAAGCAAGAGGAGGCCATTCAGCCCATCGTACGTGTTTAGTGGCGTATTGATGTAAAGGATCTTGCGGAGTGAGCTCAAGAATATATAGAATGACAATTGATTGCATGACACAGCAAAGTTTGTCTCGATACATGATTGCACAAGAGGGGAATGTTGGGGATAAAACAGAACCCAGTTCAGTTCCAAATAATAAATACAACTAAGGTTGCTGCTGGAAGAGGTGTTAGTGGGGCCAGCAGAGGCCTGCGGTCTGTGTGGGTCCTAATGCCCCAGTATAGTGACGGGGACACAACGCTGTAAACAGGCGCCGTCCTTCGGATGAGACATAAAACCGAGGTCCTGACTCGCTGTGGTCATTAAAAATCCCAGATCTCTGATCTGGCTTCATCACTCTGCTCTCCTCCCCACTGAGAGCTGGTGTGTGGGGAGAGTACAGGTGTATCATCTAGGTGGGGCTGCACACTGGTGGCGGTGGAGGGGATCCCCATTACCTGTAAAGCGTTTTGAGTGGAGTGTCCAGAAAAGTGCTATATAAGTGTAAGCAATTATTATTATTATTATTAAATGACCAATATAGTGTGTGTTCCAATAGGGGCTCATGGGGGCGGAGTAGGAGGACAGGGGGTCCTACAAAGCCAGAAGTATAGGGGTGCTCACGGCACTAGGGTTCACACTGCGACCTCGTCCCCTGATACGGCTTCTATGGCACACCCAAAAAACATCTTTTCTCATTTTCTTACTTGTGCTTGCATGCAGGGAAACAGAGGGACAAGTATTGCTCTCTGCCAGTGAAAAGCATCGTGCCACGTTTAGGGTTGTGTTTGAGTAGGGAGCTGCGTCAGCATGCGTAGGCTGCAAAGGAAGAGATCAAGAGAAAAGAAACAACTTTTCCTCTGTGGAGCCTTCTTGCTCTGAATTGTTGTCTCTTTTCTATTCAAGGTGGGATAAACCTTTACCTGCTCCTGTTTATAATTATGCCAATTAAACATTTTTATTGTTCCATCGCCCAGTTGATGGAGTTGCATGTTTCCAACATGTTCAGAGTCGTTTTCCTGTGTGTACAAACCAGACCCTGTTAATTACAACGATCTTGGCTGAAAACAAGCGCATAGAGTAGCCTAGGCCTGTCAGAAATGCTATCCTGGGTATTGGAAAACCTTTAGGAAACCTAAAGACAACTTTACCAATAACTCTGATATGTATGGTTATAAATTAAGAACCAGCCCCCTGAGTTTAAGGAGCAGCAGCACTGTATGTGCAGAGTGACACACTGCTACTGAACAGCTGTAAAGCCAAAAGGCCTGACTGAGGAGAAATAGGAATTCCTCCCATTCTGAGCACCTTTATCTGCACACCTGGCTGATCCATCCTGCTTCTATTCTTCGAGCGTTTGCATCTTGATTTCTTATCTCAGGGGTCTTCTCTTTAAATTGGTTAAAAACAGTGTCTATTGTCTGAACATCTATTCTGAGTGGATTAAGGATAAAGCAAGAATGTCCCATGAAAATAAACAGGGTTTACCAACTCTTTCCTCATCAATGGCATAACCTTTGTCACCACGGGCTGCAACACCAAATTATTACTAAATAACTTATTTGGCTTATTTGTTTGTATCCAAAGCAATGAACATTAGACAGCTGGGCAGTTTACAGCAACAGTCCAGGTGAAGAGCCTTACTCAAGGGCACTACAGCAGTGTTTCACTTGGCTTTTGGGTTTAGCCTTCCAGCTACGAGCCCGGAGCTCTGCCCACTGCTCCACACCTGCACCTCAACGTGCAGAGCTCAGCCGCTGTGTCAGCTCTGCTCACTCTAGAAACAGCTGGAAGAACTGACACACAGTCACACCGAGACTAAGACACTGACTTTGAGAGAAGGGTTAATGGTCTGTTGGCCAGATACTGTAGATAATTGTTTCTCATGTTTAATGCCATCAACAACAAGGGCTGGAAAGGAAGAGAGGTCTGCTGGTTAGGGTTTATTTGTGTCTCCATGCCTGACTTGCTGTGACTTTATAACACCAGTCTCACTGAAAAACATCAAACCATCAGCTACAGCAAGAGGTTCTGTTCCGGTGCAGGGAAGTGCATCATCTTAGGGAAGTTCAGAGTGTCAAACTGGTAACTTTGACACAGCTTTGAAACAAATCTTTCTGTGCAGGTTTTTTTTTTTTCCAGTTCTACAGTTTGCTCTCTGGAGTTCAAAAAGTTACTGTATGTTCAAATGTGCTGTTATTCTGGCAGGGAGAAGGGTGAGCACACGAACAGCTCTATCAGCCTCCCCCGCTGTGTTCTGACCTGTCTGAAACCTGCTGCATGCAGACAGCAGGAAGGCTCAGAGCTGTGCAAGGCAGGCCCAGCAGGGCTCTGACAGTGACCTCCTCTTCCACTGACTACAGGCCTGTTCAGAGCTTTTTATCTTGATGAAATATGACAGAGAAACTCAAATCTAATTCATAATGTCATGCCTATCACAGAGGCCCATGTGCAGTGGGTGTTTCGCTACACAGAGGGGATGGGGATGGGGGTTCAGTTGAAAGCTTCCCTTTGGAGGGCAGAGACTGCATACACTACACTCTGCATTCAGTTGCATGTACTGTAGCTTGACTGGAACAGAAAGCAGGGATGTGGTAACCTGTGGCAGCTGAGGTCTCTGTGGCTGGCAGATAAATTCTAGGCAGCTGCATTTCACAAGCCCTTGAGCTGGATCTTTACCTATCGTTTTCAGTTTCACCCCGACATGGAACTCTTTTCAGCCGAGCTCTGTGTGTATTAGGAGCAAGTCTCCAGACCAGGGTTAGTCGGTTCAGTGTGTGATAAACTAATACAACAGCGGGATGTGCTGAAACCCTTCAATAGAATAGATCACTGGTCTGGACAGTCGCCAGCCTGCTTCTCCCTCCAGAATATTACAACTCCTCCTACACAGCAAAGTCAGCTGCTTAAACCTGATTTAACCAGCTCCTCTCTCTTGCCCCACACAGCTCCACAATGTTCCCTGCTAATCTCCTGGTCCTGATGGTCCTGTTGCTACCTCAAGTCGTGTCAGCTCGCGAGGGGGCTTCTGACCCGAGCACACCGCCACAGCTCAGCCTGGCTCAGACCATTCAGAACTTGCTGCTGACCCGGCTGGGCCTGCGGAACCGGCCCGAACCCCGTCCAGGAACCCCCATCCCGCAGTACCTGCTGGACGTCTACCGGTTCCACTCCCAGGACTTCCACCTGATTCAGGACCCGGGCTTCAGGTTCCCCACCAGGCATACCCAGGGCGCCAACACCCTCCGCAGCTTCCACCCCCTGGGTGAGGACATCTGGCTGTGCAGATACTGGGTCAACTTGTCCAGATTGTGGCTCGTCTCACTACTGTGGACATCTGCCTGATTCATATTTCTCAGGTCTTGCAGAAAGAGATTAAAGTCTGTCAGCAACTTCTAGAAGAGCTGATGAGCCCTGACCCAGCCCAGGCACCACAGAACCACAGTACTGGGACATTTAACTGCTGAAGTCATCATCCATGCATTCGTCTTCAGTCTGCTTCTCCTGCGTAGCAGCATAGTCCAAATAAACAGATCAGAAAGAAAATTTAAAATTAATTTAGGGCTAAATTCTGTGTTTATGTCTCCTTAGTGAATGAGATTTTATTTATTTTTGATTAGATAAGGTTAAATGACTACGATATAATGAGTGTTCACTGGGGATCAAGTGCATAGTAGAATACTGAACCCTGCAGGACTGAATACGACAACACTCATCAATAGGTTTTCTCACAGGCACTGTTGCACAGCTCCAGAAGAATATTCCAATGGCCAATGAAACTGCAGTGAGAAGTGTGACACTCCTTCTCCTCCCAAACCAACAGGGACCCCAAGAATAAAACCGACGAATCACTTCACATCCATTTCAGCTCCATCACGCTGTCTGAGTGGAGGGTATTCATATGGAGATCAGTCTCAATTCCTCCTGTAGGCAGAGTCCTCTCTAGGTAGCTGGTCCTCCTGTAGGTAGAGTCACTGCAGGATGACATGCTGTATTACAGAAACACTTTGTGTCGCTCCTTGGGGAGAAGAGCTATCAGAGAGACAACCCCAGATAGATATTGAATTTTCACAGTACTGCTTGTTAGGCTTATGCACTGTATTCTACTTCAAATGTTATCATTTCTCCCCTTAGATGATTGTGATCCTTTACTTCAAGATGCCTTTTTTTACTATCTCTTCTCAAATGATACAGTGATTTTTTTTTTAATTACCTGCAGTTCAAATGCGCTTGACTGTATGATTTCCCTTTCTTAGAGACTCCAAGACACCTCCTCCCGAGTAGCCAGGGGGAAACAGACAGCTTCCACATCGTATTCAACGTCTCGTCCATTCCCAGGGACGAGCGGGTGACATCAGCTGAGCTTCGCCTCTCCCGCAGGGAGCAGTCTGTGCCCTCCGGGACTCAAAGGGTTAACTTATACCAGCTCCCTGATCCCAGGAGCCCAGCAGACACCGAGACCCGGCTCCTGGCGTCCAGGCTGCTGGCAGATGACCACGATTCGCACTCCTGGGAAAGTTTCAGCCTTGGCGCGGACTTGTTTGACACACCCAATGGCCAGACGCACCATGTGGCATTCGTGCTGGAGGTGACGCACCTGAACAGCAGCCGCCCTCCGGAGCAGCGAAGGGAGCGTTTGAGGGTCAGGAGATCCGTGGGCCAGGACCAGCCCAGCTGGGCCCAGGAGAGACCCCTCCTGGTGACCTACAGCCACGACGGGAGGGGCCAGCCCCTGGCCCAGAAGAGGGTCGAGCCCAGGAGGACCAGGGGCCCCTGGGAGAGAAGGGTGAAGCGCAACGGCAGGTTGCACAAGCTCAAGAAGATGGCCAGGGCGCGCTGCAGGAGGCACCCCCTCTACGTGGACTTCAAGGACGTGGGCTGGAACAAGTGGATCGTGGCTCCCAGTGGCTACCACGCCTTCTTCTGCATGGGGGAGTGCCGCTTCCCGCTGGCCGACCACATGAACTCCTCCAGCCACGCCATGGTGCAGACGCTGGTCAACTCGGTCAACAGCAACGTGCCGCGGGCCTGCTGCGTGCCCACCACACTCAGCCCCATCGCCATGCTCTACCTGGACCAGCACGACCGGGTGGTGCTCAAGAACTACCAAGACATGGTGGTGGAGGGCTGCGGCTGCAGATAACAGCAGGCCGCGCCCATCTCAACGCGGGGCGTCCCGGTTTCGGACCCTGAAACCCATAGCGCAGTACGAGTACAGGCTCAGTGCCAGCAGACACGGGACACCTCAGACAGAAGTTCTGAGAAGCGCCGCGGGAGGAACTGAGCGAGAGGGTGTTTTCTGGACTGGGCTCCACATTTCTGTGCAATGGGTGAATTAAAAGTAAAGAGCAGCAAACGTGAAAACAAACAGGTGGAAAGACAGTACACATCTGAGAAACTGCCACTTGAAAAGCTTTCCTCTAAGAATATGTTTATATTTAAAACTGTAAGGGAAATATTTTGCTTTTATTGTAAAGATGTCTCTAATTCAAAATATCCACACCGTATGTTATAAACCAGGGGTGTTCCAGTCCAGTCTTGGAGGGTCAGTGGGTATATATCGCCTTTCAAGGCTTCTCTGGAGCAGCAGCACCTGGAGAGAACAGGGAAAAGAGGTTAAACTGCTCAGTTTAAGCCAATGAACTCTCCTGGGAACGTTAAGAGCTGAGCAGCTCTGAAAACCACTGTGAGGACACAGAGGGCCTCTGGGACTGTTTCTAATGAAAATGGGCCCTTAAAATGAATGAAAGAATAAAACTAGAAACATGAGTGTACCAGTATTAAATAAACTAGAACTAGGAAACTAGGAACTATTTAAATTCCATGAAAGCCCCACATTGCAGTCTTGCAGTCTAACAGAACAGTTTTTACAAAGACAGGTGGTTGAACAAGGGAAAACATTAATAGTAACAGTGATCGGAAGGGTGTGCTGCTATATAGTCAGAGCTTCACAGACAGGAGAGAAGCCTCTTCACGCAACACTGGAGCGCAGGTCTCCTCCAGGGCATTTGATCTTAGAGAAAAAAGCGGCAGAGCGGTGGCTCTGTGGCTCAGGATCTGTGCCTGTGGCTGGAAGGTTGCCGGTTCAAATCCTGCAACCGGCAGAGGAATCCTACTCTGTTGGGCCCCTGAGCAAGGCCCTTAACCCCAACTGCTCCAGGGGCACCGTATAAATGGCTGACCCTGTGCTCTGACCCCAAGCTTCTCTCTCCCTGTCTGTGTGTCTCATGGAGAGCAAGCTGGGGTGTGCGAAAAGACGAATTCCTAATACAAGAAATTGTATAGGGCTAATAAAGTGTTCTTTCCCTTGTGATGCTCAGGGTCTAGATCTGTGTATTTAATTTCTCTCAAACCGAGACTGAACAAAGGAGGAAATGAGGTTTGAAAATAAAACAAAAAGTGACACAGCTATAATTCTGAGCTCTGTAATAGCAGAAGCATAAGGACCGTACGGTCTTCTGAAAGCTGCATGGAAGAATAGTAGCTGAATATCTGAAGGAACTGTATATCTAAACTCTCCATCTGAACAGTCGAAAGTGGTGTTTCCAGTGATAAATGTTAAGACCTGGCCTCGAAAGGCCCCAGAAGCCTGCTGGCTCACGTGAACAAGGTAGCTGTTTCCTGACACAGTCGTGCAGCAAGTCAGATTTCCAACCGTGTTCACAAGACTTCCCTTCCTCCCATTTTTTAAATGTTAAGAAGCTTCTTTGAAAAGGTTTCTTTTTGCCGGGCTGTGAACTGAACATCATGGCCTCCTCGTGAGTGGGACCCAGGCACACGCTGAGCGCGGGCCAGACAGCGTCTGGGGGCGCGTTCAGACCTTCAGTGACACCTAGTGCTGCTGCTGTCTTGCTGTGGCAGAAGCTCTTGAGAGTGGAGACGCTGGGGAGCGATTCAGTGAACACGGCGCTTCCGAATGGTCACGAGGCTGGGAATTTCACACACGGTGCTCTAGGTCTGGATCCGTCGATTGAATTCTCCCTCGGACACAACACCTTCTTGAATCTGGTCCAGAGCAGCTTTGAATTCTACTTCACTCACAATTACATCCAAATTACTTTTTTTATTAAAAGACACAAACAGTCAGAAAACATGAAAATACAAGAGTTTTCTTTAATGATTCAGGCAAGACCACCGATGGCTGGAAATGGAAGATGACCCTGCGTTGTCCATTTTGTTGGGTGTGAACAAATGATCAAATAAAGGTCACACTTAACAGGATTCAGTAATAATATGCTTTAACTTATATATTTCTGCATCTGTAAATATTAAGATAAAGATTCAGTTTCATTAAGCAATTTCCTGAAGAAACCAAAAAGAATAGCGTAATGACACTCACATTTAAATGTCATTCACCAAAATAATTGACACTGTTTGAACCAATCTGCAGGAAGAAAAATGCAAGACTGATGGAAATAAGCAGGAAATAAGTAAATATGTCTGAGCTCTGCAGGTCCCAGGGTGCTGTTGTGAAGATTTAGACAGATGGTCCTCACTCCAGCTGGGTGTGTCGGAAACACATGGAACATTCAATACGATGCCCTTCTTTTAATCACACAAAAAACGCGGTAGCGGCAAAGTTCTCATGGCTTGAGAGAAACGTGCTCAGAAGCTCACTCTCCCAGAAACATGCAGCCCTCCAGAGCTTCACTGCGTCTCACAGGACCGAGAGTGTGTCAGGCAGAGTCTCTCCTTTTCGAAGAAGCTTCCTCGATTTTGTGCTGCTTAACCTCCTCTACAAGGTATTTTTATCTGTAGAGCACACACTGCTACTAGGAACAACCACAGTAAATGGACACTGCAGTCCTTTGTCATTTGCCTTTGCTTTGTTTTTATTACAGATGTTTTATTTGTTATCATACTTCACCTTTGTATTAACTTTTCTTTGTGGTCCAGGAGATTAATATATTTATTTTCAAATACATACTACAACTCAACAGAGCTTTGCCTGGGTTCTGTCAATGTTCTGGGAATGTGTCTGTGTGGATGTGTGTGTCTGTGTGTGCGTGTGTCTGTCTCTGTGTGTGTGTTTCTTTCTGTGTGTGCATGTCTGTCTGTGTGTGTGTCTGTGTGTGCTTGTGTCTGTATGTGTGCACGTATCTGTCTATGTGTGAGTCTGTCTATGTGTGTCTGTGTGTGTGCGTGTGCCTGTCTGTGTATGTGTGCGTGTGTCTGTGTGTGTCTATGTGTACTTATGTCTGTCTGTGTGTGCATGTCTGTCTGTGCGTGTGCATCAGTGTGTATGTCTGTGTGTGTCAGTGTGTGTGTCAGTGTGTGTGTCTGTCATGCCCTGCGCATGTGTCCCTGCCCAGCACCAGGAGCTCCAGTTCGCTCCTCAGGTGAACGTGGGGCAGCAGGTGCACTACAGAGCGACTGATAGACCCCTCTCAGACTGCAGACCAGCTCCAGCGCGCATGTGTGTGTCGGAGTGTGGGTGTGCGCCTTTCCAACAGCCGCCCAGAGGGGAAGAAGTCATTCCAGAGTCCACGAGCAGCGTGCTTTCGACATGAGTCACGCGCGGCTGGGAGCAGACCTTTGCTCTGGTGCTGGCCGGGCCTCGCTGGGCCTACAGATGTTCGGATGCTGCGGCCCGCTGGCACTCTGCAGGTGAACACGGAGTAGGACGGACGCTCTTGTCGGAAGCTGCGCGGTTAAGCCCCTCAGGGGGAAAGGATAGCACTGCTTGCACGAAAACAGGATATGAACTCGGGCTGTGACACTACTGCACACACCTGTATATGCGCCTCCCTTTGACTCTCTTAGTACATGTCTGCTGTACATAACAGCTCACACACAGCTTGGTCTGCCACTTTCCAGACAAGTGCTCAAGCACACCCCCTCCCTCTGCTCCCACTTCCAAAAGTCCTCTGTGTCAGCAAGGACAGAACAAGGATGTGAAAAAGATCTTCTGCGTAGCCTCAGCTGTCAGTGCTTGGGCCAGAAACGCCACTTTCCACTCTCACCTTGTAAAACTGACAAAGCAGGAAGGAAACAAGTCCTGGTGAGATCAGGAATACCACAGAACAGCTGAACAGCTTTGATTAGTAATCATCTCCATATTTAAATCCATTCTCTGGATTCAACACACCCTCACACTTACTGAGTGCAATTCTTGTACATTTTGGCTGACTAGATGCTAAAAGGCACAAGTACTGAGGAGGCAGAAGTGTTATTCAAACAAATCTCCAGGGCCTGATGGTGTTTTACCAACTGTACTAAAGGAAATGAAGGATGTTATTTATGGAGTGTTAACAAAATCTCCAGCCATCACTCAGGATAAAGCTCGTGCCCGTTGACTGGAGAATTCCTCATGTAGTGCCCGCCATAAAGACGAAACTGAACCAAGTAATTTTAGACCAATAAGTCTGACTTCCTTTACAAGTCAGGTCATGGAAACTAATGGATTGTCTGCATGGAAGCAGAATTCTAGGGGATAGTCAACAGAGATTTAAAAGGTGGGTCATGGTAAACATATAAAAGGATATTTTTCAATTTCGCAGGTTTTGATAAAGTTCTTTACAAAATATGAATTCCTCAACTGCAGGATGTAAACATCCAAGCTAGTACACACATTAGGACTGAGAACTGTATAGACAATGGGTACAGATATGGGGTGAATGCTCAGACTGGGGGTTGTAACTATTGGAGTTACATAGAGATCCGTTAGGACGGGTAGTGGACGGTCATTGATCTAGGTTCTGGAGTGGTAATGACATTCATTGATGATACCAGAACAGAACAGGAGGAGTGATAAAGACAAAATTCAGTACTTGGAGAAATGTCCTACTCTTACAGGCTAAAAGAGCTAAATGTTTTTAGGCCTGAACAGAGAAGACTATGAGTATTAGGAGTCCTCCAAGGCACTGAGGTAGTTAACCCAGTGAACCTCCTCAGAATGACAGTGAAGCATGAATCAGAGGACACAAAAGGAAAAGGCTTTACACAAAGGGTTGTGGGAGTATGGATCAAGTTACCCAGTCATGTTGCTGAGGTTGACACCCTGGCGTCTTTCAAGAAACAGCTGGATGAGACCCTCAGATCAATTAACTACTAAAATCAAAATGAGCTCCTTTAGATGAGCCAAATGGCCTGCTTCCTGAAAGGCTTGAAAAGAATGAAAGGAAAAGGCCGCAGCTTGAGACGCCAACAAGAGAGCTGGCCCTGGGCAGCTGGTGGTCCGTCTCACTGCGGTTTCCTGGAAGCCAGATATCCCTGTCTGCAGAACAGCGGAGCTGGATAAAAACTTAACGCCAAAAAATTCAGCATCTCCCAGGGAAGCTATTGTGCAGTAATTTCTTGCAGCCCGAGATGAAAAATGATGTTTTTACAGGTGTCTCACAACACAACGGCGATTCTGCTCAGCTGGAAATCAGATCGACTCTCACTTTTTTCTTTTTCGTCTTCGTTTTCCCCTCTGACAAACTCCTACTATGACAGGCAGCTCCAGCAAGAGCAAACAACTTCACAGGCTGTGACTAATGCCTTTAACACAAACTGCAGTGATGACCAGAGCTTTTTATTAATTAATACTCCTCATTTAAGGCAGTGAGTCGGGGAGGGCACTGCGTGCTAGTGTTTTCCACAAGGTGAAGAATAAAGGTGTCATCAAGTCACACCTGAGAGACTAGAGAGTACCTTTCCCTCCCTGCAATGACAGCATGGTGATTATCTTCCCCTCCTTACATTCAGATTTCAACAGTAGGCCACAACGATAAATCTACACTTAAAAACTACAAAGAAAAGCATAAAGCCAGCAGCTGTTTACTCCTGCGATGTGGCTCGGTACAGATGTGAAGGAGCTGGAAGGAACAGCCAGGAGTGATGACGAATGCCTTTCTCACTCTGCCTCCCACCGAGCCCGGCCGAGCTGAGCACGCCTGAGCCGAGCGCCTGGCTGGGCCTCTGGAACGCGCCAGAACAGAAGCACCTTTTAAACTAGGCGTGAGAGGTTGTCTCTTTTCTGCTTTGCCGAGAAAAGAGTGTCTCTTCTGGGGCAAAAGAAGCTCCATGGTGATCTTTCACCGTATTTCTTCTGCCTGTTACACTTAGCTCACCGGCTGTGCTGTGTCTGCCTGTACACGACTGCTCTGCATTGTGGGA